AAACTCCCTGACCTTAATTGAGCTCCAACATTGATCACAATATTGTATTAACTTGACCTTGTTTAGTGCTGTGATGCTGCCCCATTCCCTCATCGCATCTTTTGGATACAGAAGAATAGACAAATGGGGTCGCCAGAAAACAGAGAAACGTGAAGGAGTTCAGAATGGGTGGGTCTGACTAATGGGATGAGATGATGAGGCCCATTTGCATGTCTGACTTTAAATCTCAACACTGGAACAAAAAACCAGAGACCCCTTGTGCCTGCCGCCTGGCCTTGTGTTGAAATATAGATAAATGTGCCCAATGACAGCACCAACTTGATAGCAAACTGGGTGGAAGTGATAGCGAAGCTTCCAATTTTGCACTTCATAATCTGTATGACTGTATCCCATAACATACTATGTTTGATATGTTTGATGAAAGCAGATTGAAGTATTGAACCAAAGAGAATGCATGCTAGAGACCTATATATATAGGAGAAGTTTCAATGGCATTCAACTTGAACCTGCAAAAGCAGCAACGCCAAACATTGGATGAAGAAACCTTAATCCCTATGAGCCCAAATTCACAATTTATCAATAATTCCGTCATATCCTCAATCATTTTGTGTGTTGTAGAACTCAAAACAATGTTAGATGAGTTCGAAATAGTTCAAGTGCTACGTAATTTGTTTTTACCACTAAATGCACGTTTTTCTTTCATAATTGATGTCAATGACAAAGGTACACCATGTTGGAAGAAAGTTGATGTTCGAGTTGAAGATCCTATCATTGTGCCCACTATGAAATATGACAAAGGTACACCATGTTGGTCAAGTATCCAACCTTGAATGGTGCAGGTTCTGTGGTCTTCAAGTTTAGCCATGCATTAGGAGATGGATACTCTATCATTAGTGTAGTGTTTAGTGCATTTAGAAGAGCTGATGGCCCTTCACTTCCAGATACATTACCAGATATATGTCACTGAGAGTAAATGGAGGGAAGAAAAGATTGTGGAGTTATGTTTCAATGAGCATTAATACTTTTTCTGATATTACTTTTTAGTGTGTTAAAGACTTCAGCTTTCGAAGATACTAAGAGTGCAATTAGATCAGGAACACCCGATGTTGAATTCGAGCCAGTTGCAGTTTCATCTGTCATTCTGTCTCTATATTCATGGAATGGAATGTCTAAAACAGGTCAAATCTAAGGTTGGAGGGGTAGGTTTTCTCGGCAAAATGGCTATGGCAGGCCATCCAGGTGGTTCTTGCTACTTCATCGTGGCAGGAATACCTCAGTTACGATCTTTTGAAACATACCGACTGAGAATCTGACAGTTCAAGCAAATGATTCCTACATGTTTCGGGTAATTATTATGGAATTTCAAATAACTTTTACATTGGTGTTTTGGATGCAGAGTCTTGTTTTTACAGTAGCTTCATGCATGGGGCAATTGAGGTTGACAACAACAATGGAAAAGAAGTTTATTGATTTCCAACTTTTCAACTCTTGTATGGAGGAAGGTTTTGAAAATATATATGACGCAGCTTGTGGTATTGCGCAAGTAGTACGTGTGCAATTATTCTTCATTTCAAAGCTTTGTCTGATGATGCCGATTTGGCAGATCTAGGAACCAGGGCAGAAAGTAAAAAAAAAAAAAGACCACAATTTTCAGAATCTAACATTCTTGTACTTGCAGTTTTAATGTTGCTCGATCTGCCACCGGGTGTTGGTTTGATGTGAGATCCGCTCACTCAACTAATGTTATTACCCTCACAAACTCTTATTATGCTCTGCTACAACTTGAACACTGAGTAAACTTATGTTCGACCATAATTTGAATCACTTATGTACAGTAGTTATGTTTCTATATTCAGAGTATCACGCTTGTTCGATCTGCATTATTTTGTTTGCAGTTGCGAACCTTGCTTCTTGTGCACTGTTTTTGTAAAATTTTGGTTGAGACTAAGAGTGCAAGGATTGGTTATTTAGTCAAATAGGGAAAACAAAACATAGTCCCACATCAGGAAAATAATAACAAGTAGTGCTAAAGGTTCAGTATAAAAAAATAAGTTGAGCAAGGGGATAAGTATCTTTGCGCTTGGGGCAATGACGCAGCTAGTGAGGTTATACCGAGGCGCGTCAATTGCTGGTTGAAAACTATTTCCAAACCCCCTCTTCGGCCTAAGTTCTGCTTGGGCCGTCGAGAATTTCTGGAAAGGCTCCCTCTAAACAAGGGTAAAGCCTACAAATTCAAACTTCAAATTTAGATGGTTTTGCGTTCTTGTTCTTGTAGATGCCATTGCCACCTTGCAATCACAACAATTAGTTTTAGGGTAATGAATAGTTGATCAAGTAAGAGGACTGAGGATATTGAAATCACCTGGTTGCCGCTTCCACATGACTAATATATATGACACCCTTTTGACATTTGTGTTGGTGTAGATAGGACCTTTAACCATGGATTTCAAAAAAATTATATATTAAGGGTCTGTTCGATTTGTTGGTAAATCTACTTCCTGGTAAATGAGACAAGGAGAAAGATGGAAAACAGTGATTACAAAGAGGTTTCGAGGAAAGAAGCTTTGGAGATTAGTAATCTAGCGTGATCTTCTCTCTCATCCAAAAGTGATTTTTTCTTTCATTTCTCTCTCTTTTATACGTGGGACCTACAAATAAATAAATAAAAAATTTAAGCGAGATTTCTAATCTCTTTTAAATTTAAACAAACCTTTAGTCCTAGTTTAGTCCAATGGTAAATTTAGGCTAGCATTGGAAGATGGTTTTTTGAAGTTTTTTCATAAATTTATAAATTTAGGCTAGCATTGGAGATGCTCTAAGGATTAATACTAAAATTATTACGAATTTAGAAAATTACCCTTAATAGTTTTCTGGTAAATAAATTTCCCAACTGAATCAAACATACCTTAAATCTCTATCTATAGAGAGGGGATGGAGTTCGAGGTGTAAGTTTGTATGTTACAAATGTTGTGTGACATTTCTACCCCTCATAATTCTCTTTCTCTTACTATTTTGCTCTAAAGTTTTACCTTTATTTTTTTTCTCACAATCAAGCTTGTGCGGAGCACGAACACTAAGAGCATCTCCAATGCTAATGTGAGTTTGTATAAAAATGAGTTCCATATAGGATAAATAGACATTGAGACCTAAAAACTCTCTCCAATGCAAACTTTCAAATTTACTACGAGTCTGATGTGGTCTAATTTATAACTCACATTGTGAGATTGAAAGTCTAATTCACAAGGTAATTATTCAGCAAAACAGTTATATAAAATTAGTTTTCTATAATAAAAAAGAGATTTTATTTCCTTAAAATAAGGAATTGAAGACACAAATTTATTAATTTTTGTTTAACACGTTTGTTTTCACACCCTAGCATGGGAGATAAAAATTTTATTGGTTATATTTTAGTGTCACATAAGATTCACATCCTCATATATTTCATAAAACTCATATTTTAATGCTAGTAAACCTTAAAATATCATATAAATTGATGTATCTGCCTCTATTTTTTATTTTTTTTTTGATAAGAGGTAAAAATTTCATTAAAAGCAAACAGGGTTACAACAAAAACACAGCCTCAAAGATCTGAGTGGCATTGAGTCCCCAACACAGACTGTTGCTAACTCATACAAGACCCTTACAGACCTTTAAAAAACTTGTAGACTCACCCACACCCCACCTGCTGACTGAGCCAACATGACCCCAACACATCAGCCAAACATACAACCTCTCAAAGCAGAAACTTACAGCAGCCTAAACCACCCATTGCTCAGACATAACAGTTCTCCAACCATACAACAAATCAGTGAATCTGAGTGACTGTTTTGCCTCCATGGCTCTGCTACTAATATTCAACCAGCTCCACACAACTGCTTTGATTGCATGTATAGTCTTGTCATACACTACCTCTCCCTCATTAAAAATTGCATCGTTTCGAGTTCTCCATAACACAGCAGCTGGCAAGATTGCCCATATGTGAAAAGCAACCTCCCTACTGTTGAACTCAGGCCATTCAAGCAGAAAATATTTTACTACTGTACAGCTGTTGAGTGCATAACGTACCTCACCCTTGACTGCCACCAGTTCTTGCCAAATTCTTCTAGAAAACCTGTAATTCAGAAATAAGTGGTCGCTCGTCTCCTCGTCCTCTTTACACAGGCAGCAACGATTTGGTAGCATGATCCCTTTCTTTTGCAACATGTCCACTGTCAATAAACCATTCCAAAGAAATGACCATAAAAAGAATTTGACATTAGAGGGAATTTTAACTTCCCAAGCCACTCTCCATGGAATTTGCCCAATGTCCACCCCTCTTGGTGTTTCGTCTTCGTCAAGTAGAGCATAACAAGATCTTACCGAAAATAATTTGGATTTTTCTTTTGTCCATTCCCATTCATCCTCCTCATTATTAAGAGTGCAATTAACAAGCAGCCCCATGAGTGAATCCAATTGCACTTGCTCACTTTCTCTAAACAACGAACGCAGTAAATGAATGTCCCATGTACTATCATTGTCATAGTGATCTCGTACACTACCATCCTTCAAAGAGGCATACCTATAGAGAATATGGAACCGCCGTACAAAGGGGATCTCTCCAAGCCAAACATCATGCCAAAACCGCGTTTTGCTTCCACTATTTGAGATATGCTTGATACTTCTAAAGAAATATCTCTAGAAGCTTGTATACCCCGCCAAAGACAACACCCATAAGTTTGCATAACCACTTTCGGTCTACCCCTTTTGTCACACCCTCCGTATCTGCCTCTATGGTGTGTGCAACTTAGTGTAACGTATAATGTTAGTCGCTCTCAGTTATTAAGCTTAGTGTTTGTGTAATGTAATATTCTTTTTAATTGGTTAATGGTTTTAGTCCCACATGGCTTAATGTAGCAGTTTAGTGAGGGAGCAGTAATTATAAAACCAGACTTCAGAATTACATCAAAGCATACCTTTCTCGG